GGGAGGGAGAGAAGGGGAGAGTTAGTGATAGGGCAAGAGAGAGAGAGAGAGAGAGAGAGAGAGAGAGAGAGAGAGAGAGAGAGAGAGAGAGAGAGAGAGGGGGTGGGACGTGGGACACACGTGCGAGGGGGGCACGCGGGGTGAACGTTCAGAGACATGACCCTGACCACACGTGAGGGCAAGAGAGAGAGAGAGAGAAGGGCTTTAGCAGAACCAGGGGGGGTAGGGGTTTGCGGTTCTGTTCCACACAGAGCTGTCGCGCTGGACTCGCTGCGCAGACACGCGGGGAAAGGGGGGGGGGAGGAGAGGTTCTGTCGCCACGCCTCGACTCTCGACTTCTGGCGCAGCAGCCTGACACACAGCGGGGTCGTGGTGTGGCGGGGCGTGGCGGGGCGTGGCGGGGCGTGGCGGGGCGCGCCCCCAAACCAAGGGCGAACTGAGTCGAGCGAAGCCAAGCGCAGCGGCCGAGCTTGTGGCGTGGAGGTCACCATTCGGCATCATGGAGCGCGCCGGTGATGATGAGTAAGTTGTGCTTGTTGTGGTTCACGTTGAAGCCAATTTGGTCCAAATGGTTAGGCCAGAACATGACATTTGTGAAATTATTTTCAGAACCATGGGTACCAGCGGGAGTAGGCGGCGGGCTCGCAACAAGCAAGGTAGATAATGATTGATGTGTATTGAGTTGCACACTGATAAAACCTTGCAAAGGATTGCGGCTGCCTCGCAATTAGGGAACAAATGTCTTTGCAGGCTTACAAAGCAGCCAAATCCTCTGCATTGGAACAAATCCCTCGCAAGGATTTATCAGTGCACAGCAATTTGGGTGAAAAAACTTGGAGTATTAAATTTGTTTGAAATTTTTCAGCTGGGCGCGTGAAACCGCAGAAAGAGCGAGCGAAGGCAGAGGAGCGGGCGAAGGCCAAGAGGGCCCATAATCAGAGGAGGAAAGCCTGGAAGAGGCGGGACGCGGCGGCGGCCAAGAGAGCCGAGGAGGAGGAGGCGAGGCGTCGCGAAGAGGAGGCGAGGAGGACGGAAGAGGCCAGGGTGGAGGAGGCGAGGAGGACGGAGGAGGCCAGGGCGGAGGAGGCGAGGAGGACGGAGGAGGCCAGGGGAGGAGGCGAGGAGGACGGAGGAGGCCAGGGCGGAGGAGGCGAGGAGGACGGAGGAGGCCAGGAAGCAGGCGGCGGCGCCAACCCCAGGACAGCCCCCTCGTCGAAGCCTGCGGACGGGTGCGCGTCGGGAGGAGACGCTGACAAAAATTTTCCTCTGCATGCATGGAAATAAGTAAATAAAAAATTAAGAGTTCTTGACAGAATCTCATTTTTATTTTCCCTGAATATCTGACGAAAAAAAAATGCAGCAAGCATACTTTAAATAAGAAGGCGGTCTGTGGGCTGTTTTGGCACAAGCCATAATGCATTTCAGGGGGAGGGTTCGAATGTCGCGCTCGCGCTCACGGAGGCCTTGGCCGGAGTGGGCGCCATGGTTCTTGTTCTGAAAGCTCCTCTTAAGACCTATTGGCCTTGGGGCTGCTCGTCCGCGGCCCGGACCCCAGGGCGCCCCAGGCCAAGCAGGGCGACGGGGGAGGCCACCCCGGCCGAGGACACCTCAGGTCAGGCCCACCGGGCCGGCGCCGCCCCCAAGCGCCACCGCCGGGCCCGCGGGCCCGCGTAGCACCCGCACCTCGACCGTATCGTACTACCTCCGCACGGCCGCGCGCCACCCCGGACGCCGCCACCAGCCCCCGCCACCCAGACCAGTGGACCCGGCGCGCTGCGCGCAGAACAGCCCCGCGGCCCGCGCCGGGCGTGAACCGGTGCGTCCCCCAACGCAGCAGCACCGCCGCAGCACCGCCCGCAGAGGGGGCGTGAGGGCGCATCACGACAAGAGACGCACGCACGCACGCACGCACGCACGCACGCACGCACGCACGCACGCACGCACGCACGGGCAGACAGAAACCCCGAGGAGCCCAGACATCCGCGGAGAGAGGAGAGGGCGAGGGCGAGGGCGAGAACCAGCCCCCCCCCCCCCGGAAAAAACCCAGGCCAGTCTTAAAGGCAGAGAGACTCAGAAAGGCTCCAACGGTGCCGAACCTTTGAGACGACCGAACCGACGGAGCCCAGCGAAGCCCGCCCCCACCACACACGGCCTGAAAGCGCGCACATCGCTGAGGAACACCAACCCTCGCACCCTCCCCCCAAAACACATGCACGATAGCCCACCCCGCGGCCGCCCGCGGGATGAACGCACGGCGCCCACCCCGACGCGCCCCGCGAACCGATGTGCAGACGCAGACCAGGTCTGCAGCGTCACGGGGACGGACGGAGGGGACGCGCTGAGCGCAATTTCCTGTGCGTTATTCCGGTGGCTTGCCTAGCCTATGAAAGGTACGCCCCCGCCTCACCTCAAGGTTTCACACCCAGGACCCAGGCCGTGAACTACCCAGCCCGCCCCTGAGACTGCATTCAAGCCTCGAGTTTTCTCCTCCAGACATACTCTTTAGACTCCAGTTCCAAACGATCAGGATGCAACTGGACAATGTTGTGGTACCACCCTCCAGCAGCACTTCAAAATATGACCATGACCCCATGGATGTGCCCTTCGGGCCACGCCACAGGAAGCGGTTAGCTAGTAGCAATCACCCCTCAATCACCCCTACAACATCCATACAGGAAATTGAACACTTACTTGAAGTACACAACAGCATAATAAAGCCTGGGACACCACTGATTGTATATTATCCTGAAGAGCATCAAATGATCTAGAGCATTCCGATGGACTGAAAATCATAGTCATAAACTCATTGGGACCAGAGCAGCTTTTCCCCATCTGAAATTTGGAAAGGAAAACACTATAGAACTTGGCATGTACACCATGTCTTGGTTATAATAAGGGGAGACATACTAACAATTTTACAAAAATATCCAATTTAATGGACTTAAAATGTGAAAATCTAAAATAGGGACTAAATAAAAAATGTGGTTTTGAATTGTGGTAGTACTCACTTTTAGGATTCATTTGAGCTAAAGGATGAGATGTGAGATGAGCAAATCCATCAAAAAACTATGCGCACAGAATTTTTACACCTATAAGTTAACGTAACTTTCAAAAATTCTGTGCGCATAGTTTTTTGATGGATTTGCTCATCTCACATCTCATCCTTTAGCTCAAATGAATCCTAAAAGTGAGTACTACCACAATTAAAAACCACATTTTTTATTTTGTCTCTTACATAGATTTGAAGGATTTCAGTATAGTCTCCTCTGAAACACAAGAGTAAGGAAGATAATTTAAACAGCAAGAAGAACTTACTTGTAACTGTCTGCTAACAATTAATTCTCCGGAAAGTTTTCTACAAGTAATGGACCAGGACCAACAGACTGGAGTTCAAGCATCGTCTTTTGCTGAGTATAAAGAATTCACAGACACCAAAGTAACCCGTGTCCTCTCATCTAAAACAAAAATTAAATGAGACACACAATAACATTTCAATAGCAGTGAGAAGATCGATGTAAAATGATGAAACCACAATTCTCAGAAAACTTGAAGGAAAACTCACTGGCTTTAGCACAACTGCTTTGGGATGGACACTGAGAGTGAGATGGAAGTGATATTGGCAAATTTGTCCTCTGATGCATTTATTAAATTAAACAAAGTCTTTATCCTCTCATCACAGGAACGACATATGGAGTTGGAGGCAGAAGCACATTTACATCCGGTCCAATGGATGGAGAGACAACGAACAATATTTGCTAAATTCTCCAAATTGATGGGAAAAAAAGAAAACAAAATGAAAGTGCTGTAGTAAAGATATTTAAAGACAAACATAGTGAAGACTCGTCTAACTTACATGGTGCACATACACAGGAAAAACACGGCATATGCTGTATGTCAATATGATCACTGCACTGCTTGAATTGACATCTGTGTAAGACCCTTATTTGATTCCATTAAAAGAAGTTCGATGTTGATGACTTGCTCATTACAATGTGAGGCTTGTATTGAAGCAACAATGAAGCTGGCAGAACAAGAAAGAGGTCCCCGCACCAAAGGAAACCAGGTGTTCCATTCCATCTCAAATAGGAAACTGAAACAAATAGACAGAGGTAAGTCAATGAATATAAAAATGTTTAGGCACTGCAAACATAAAAGACAGAATGGAGCATTTAGATTAGATTAGATTAATTCTCCCACAATGATCTTCATCTCCAAATGAACATAATTGCAACAAAAAGCATAACTGATTTCGATAGGATTTGAAGTGAAACAAAGTGACCAATGAACGACAACACATGATACTGACACACAAAAGTTTACGTTCAATAGAGCTCAGTTTCAGTTTCTAAAGACATCAAGACTCACTTGAAATATAAAAGTGTACATATGAAAGTTTGCCTGCACACAAAAAGGTTTAGTGACGTATGGACATGACATCCTGTCAAATTACATACAGATGTGTGTAGTTCAATACCCCTTCTTGCTTGAAGCTGACAACGAGGGGAGCACAGGAGTCCAACTGTTAATAGAAAAAGATACATGTAAGTTAGTGTGAAACCTTCACATTCAAATGTTTTGTAGACATTGGACTTACTTACATGTTAGTCTTGTCAGCGTCAAGAATGTGGATAGCGTCGACTGGTTGTAGAGAAATCAGACATTGGATCGTCTCCGCAACAGCTTGGAATTTGTGGAGTTGATGTAAGACTGTTCGCCTCTCTTCATCCTTTCCTGTGCTCTAAATCTGAGGCGATAAAAGAAGGAAATAAAATTAATCTTTGGAAACAACAGCAAACAGAGCACAAACCACAAAATAAAACAAGTTGAAAATGACAACCAAGCAAGAGCTTCTACTTTCGAACATCTCACTGTGGTCCAGTCTATTGACATAAATAAATGTAGATAGAAATACTAATGTGATGAAGATCTGACAGACAAAATGATGCGTTTAGATACATTGTCTCTGGCGAAGTAGAAAGGGCTTTGGGCTTCATCTCCAAATAAACATGATTAGAACAAAAGGCATGACTGTTCCCAATGTAATACAAAAAATGTAAGTCATATTTCTTTAAAAAAGGGAAATGAAACAGAAGCATAAACACACATGAAAACCCTTACCTATGATCATGAAGTATTCAATTTTAAGAAAACTACTGAAGGATTTCTGGGAACTAGTTCCAATTGCAGGACTTTACAGTAGATTGTGAGCAGTCCAAGGGGAGAAGAAAATCCTGGAAACAGCAAGGCGTTGATGAGAACATCTAGCGCTCAGGAATTATACAGAGAAACGTATTTCAACAATTTATAAATACACCATTTCAACAGATTGACAAAGTACTTTGAAAGTGTCGACTTCATTACAGAATACAAAATGTCATGCTACATTTGAATCATGCAGCAAGCAAGGAGTAAATGTCAAATACTCACCAACATCAGTCTCATTCTTTATTGTTTGATTTTCCTTTCTGGATTAGAGTCCAACACTTATGAGTTTGCTGGCTTGCCCGTTACAATGTGAGCACTTCAGTGGGGGGTGGCAGAACTTGTAAAAGGTCACAGCTTTGAGTAAACTGAGTTTCACGTGCCAAACTGAAACATACAGCAAACATGAAAATGAATTCTCTTCTTCATTGTTCCAACGCAAATCATGACATGTGACAAAAATAGCTAGGTGTAAAAGCGTAGATTGTTATGTTGTGAATCCTCTCCCTTTAGAGGAAAAATTCATACCAAAATTGGACACTGATTAAATTATACTTTTAAATGCATCAATTCTCTAATGCAGCTTCATCTCCAAAGAAAAACACAGTTACAAGAATAAGCATGACTGATAGTTTAAAATTTGAAGTGTGGAAAAAAGTGACCAATGAAAGAGCACACATATGATACTGATACAGAACACTGTTTTGATTCATTCGAAAGGCAGCAAGACTCACTTTTAATGTAAAGGTGCAGAGATGAAAGTTTGCCTCTACACCAGAAGGTTTAGTGACGTTTGAACAGGATGTAGTTACATACAGCGATATGCCTACTTGCTGGAAGCTGACAGTGAGGTGAGCAGTCAGACTCTGTATCGAAAAGGATAAATGTGTATTAGTGTGGAAACTTTAGGTTTCAATCTATTGAACACATTCGACAGACTTGACACTTACAGAACAAGCACACCTTGTCATTGGCACCCTTTAGTCTCTTTGTCCTCTTCTCACATTCATCTTCCTTCCGGTGCTGCTATACCAGCCAATCCGCACACCCGTCGGAAGGAAAGCAAATTCTCAAAGCTACCCTGGAAACAATACTTTAGAAGATATTTCTCATACTGTCACAACTGTAATCAAATACGTTACCTTTCATTTAGCAGAACATGTTGCTGAAAAGAATCAGTTGGACTATGATTTTATGAATGTAGTAAAAACATCAAGGCGTTCCAAATCTGGTGTCAGTAGCAGAGTTGTCGTTTCTTCAAATTTCTAACCACGTAAAATCTGATGGAATAAAAAAGTATAAATTAAAATGAAACTGTCTACATGCATCAATAAATCAGAATATGCGATCATGGAAACAGTTTAAAATGAGAATGAAGCAAAACTACTTACAATGAAAAGTAGTACAATGGATAACTTGTATGCTTGTAAACGAAGAGTTGTATGACACTGGTTGGAGTGCTCGGTGTCTGTCAGAATTGCTTGCACGAAATTCACCTTGCCACCTTGAAACAGGAAAGAAAAAAAAAAGAGCAGCAAGGTGTGTGGGAATTATAGTGCATCTACTTCGATTCGGAGGAAATAGGAAGACAATATACATGCAAGTGACATCAACAGTATGCAAAGCTGGTGTGATGGTTAACTCAGGAATAGAGCATGAGACGGCACAAAAGAAGTACGCACAGCTTACCACTCATTTAATAACGAGGTTCAGACAAGGGCTGCCAAGCCCTCCGCCTTCAGCCCATCATCATAAAACTGTAGCAAAGCCATGAATCTATGATTCTCTCTTGAAATAATTGATGAAGTCCTGCCACAGATTTCACAACCTGGTTCAGACAAGGGCTTCCAAGCCCTCCGCCTTCAGCAGACCACAAAACCGTAGCAAAGCCATGAATGTATTATTTTCTCTCATAAACAACAATGAAGGCCTGCCACAAATTTCACAACCTGGTCCAGACAAGGGCTGCAAAGCCCTCTGCCTTCAGCAGATCGTGAAACCATAGCAAATCTACTTTGGCTCTTCAAATTTTATACGTTGTACTACATTCTAACCGAGAGACTTCGCTCTTCAAAGGTTGGATGCAACGTACTACTTGAGTTAATCAGCACAGAGCATACACACACAGTAACCTTTAAATTCCATGTTTAATTTGAATACTCTGATACTTGCATTGTATGGTGAGTAGGACAACAAGTTGTGGTTGGTTGGACAAACCACTGGGACTCGGTGAAAGTTTGAAACAGATCACCTTCCCCTTTTACGGGCCTGGAACAAATACACACAATTGTAGCTGGATATGAAGATGAACGATGGTATGAATGAAAGATACGAGTGCGATACAGTCATAGGCTTTTGTCCAACTAGTTGGTATTCCAATGAATACCTAACCAAAGTGTGAGTCGCTATGTCCAAAACTATTTCGAATGAATTAATAATGGACAGGGGAGGAATGCCATTACGATATTATTATATTATACAGTTTCGGCAAACTCAGGAAAGTTTTGACAATTATAACCTCACTCATTGGTAGAGGTTTGAGTATGGTCAAAACTTCACGAGAGATTACTAATGACATAACAAGCAGATCAACAAGTAAATTTACCTCAATTGACTTCGCGGCGCTGTTAAAGTGGGCAAGATGTTCAAAAATTCCAAGCAGCCGGCTGGGTAATGTCTCGGCCTGAAGTAGCACCATTGATGGAGGCCGCACTTGCAGTACAGTAAGAGGTCCCAACAACGACAATACTCGGTGTTTCCTTCTTCCTAGCATCATACTAAAACAAAACAAAAACAAACATTACTATCCTAATTGTTACACTACAACCCATTACAAGTACAAAAACAGTATGATTGAACGCGAGTAAGACGTGATATTCTAACCTAGCAGGTGACGTTATCAGTAGCGACTCTAATTTCAAAGTTCCAGACTAAGGAAAGTACGAAAATACAGGACGGGATAGGCCCAAAAACGAAGAGGAGAAACATTCACAACAGAAAGTGATGCAAAGTTACAACACAGACCAGGAGAATTATCTGCGGCTCGAGAGCACAACAAAAACACTGCTACAGTGCTGTGGACAGTCTGGACTGGCTCTGGCTGTCCCCCACCCCCGACGGAGCACTGAGCCTGCGGACTACACGCGTTCATCGCATTTGCGCCCCTCTGGTATGGCTAGGGAGATGAGTCAATTTTAGAGTCGGACTGACGGGATATTTGGACGGCTCTGCGTGCTGGGCACATGGGGAACTGTCCCATTCTTTCGCCAGAACGACTATAGAGAGGTAGGATCCTGCTGATCCAGGGGTTGCTTAAACGGCACTCGCAAGGGTTGAGATGGATGGCAGCATGCCGCCAAGTGCGCGCTGTGCAATGAGTCTGGACGGCCCCCAAAAGGCACCCGCGACAGCCGAGGGCCAGGGTGCCTCCTCTCGTGTAGGAATAGTTGGTCGGGACAAGGGTAGAACGCGGCGCAGAGCGGCCGGTCCCAAGCGCTATCTCTTTAAGGGAGGCGGGTCGACGGACGGGTCGATCGACCGATCCACCGAGCGGCGGGTAAAATGATCGTAGGAAAGCTAAATTAACATAAATGTGGGTGAACCCATACATTTTCGGAAAGGGGAAAGATGTAGGAACATGATGATGTAAAAATATCGGTATTTGGGACCCATTCTCAAAAGCATAGAGTAAACGTGGTTTTCTTAGAATGGATCCCAAGTACCAATATTTTTGGATAATCGTGTCCTTTGATATTTCCTCTTTCCGAAAATGTATGGTTCCACCTACATTGATGTTAATTTAACTTTCCTACGATCATTTTACCCGCCGCTCGGTCGATCGGTCGGTCGACCCGTCGACCCACCTCCCTTAAAGAGATAGCGCTCCAGATGGAGTCGTAATGACCTGCGGGGTGATCGCACACAGCGCCTTCGTGCCTCCGTCCTCGTGGGGGGGGGGGGGGAGGGGGCAACGTCAATAGGAAGCGCCCTGGACCACCCCGCTTGCCAGAAAACGCAGAGATATTGTTATAAAGCACAGAGCGAAGGTTTGGAGATGTGTGTATTGTCCAAGAGACAGGGCCGAAGTAACCAGTCAACAACAGTGGGCATAGCAACGAGACGCGACAAAGGTGCGCACGCGCTGGGGCGGAGCGCCATCGAAAGTAGGAACAATGTAGCATGCAACTTTACAACACTATTTGTTTGGTCAACACCACACACGGTCCTTCCCTCCAGGAGCACAGTTTGGAGGTGCGGCCAACCTTGCGCCGGGGGTTGTAGAAACAGACCAGGTCACCCGGGTTGAAGTTCGGGCGACGCGCCCTGAGGTCATAGCGCTCCTTCATAAGGACGCGATGTCGGCCCGCTCCCGGACCGCGGACCGTGTGGTGAAGGTCCCGCAGCCGGTTGTAGAGCCAGGTGGGGTACTCGGCTCGGGGGAGCCGCGGAGCCTCCTGCTGGGGGACGGGGCCGCGCGCCATGGCAGCGGGGACGATGATGTCCCGGCCGAACATCATCATGGCGGGGGAGACGCCCGTGGTGGTGTGGGGCGCCACGCGCAGGCTCAGCATCACCAGTGGGACCTGCAAGTCCCAAGTGGAATGGTGATCTTTGGCCAGGATGCTGAGCTGCTGGACCACAGACCGGATGAGGCGTTCCACGGCGCCGTCTGACTGAGGGTGGAGCGGAGTCGCTCTGGTCTTGCGGACGCCCATGATGTCCATGACGGTCTTGAAGACTTTGGCCTCGAAGGTGCTGCCTTGGTCGGAGTCCAGCTCGGCGGGGCATCCGAAACGGGTGAAAACATGGTCGACCAGGGCTCTGGCCACCACCTCTGCGTGGTTGCTGGACACCGGGATCGCCTCCGGCCACTTGGTGAAGTAGTCGGTGACGACCACAAGGAAGCGGTTGCCTCTGGAGGTCCGGGGGAAGGGGCCGGCCAGGTCCGCGCCCACGCGCTCCCAGGGGACGCCGACGTTGTGCAGCCGCAGCGGCGCGCGAGGGTGCACGCGCGATCAAAG